TTTGAGTCTTGTTGGGGGTTCGAATTTTCGAATTTTTCCCCTATTATTTTCGATTTTTTTTTAGAGTCTTAAAAAAAAAATTTAAATTTTATGATGTCAAACCGTGAGAGGATTCAAGCCTTGGAGGATAACATGAAGATCATTGGTGATGGTCAACATGCTACCAACGAGAACTTGGGAAGGATCGAACTCATGGTTCAGGACTTGGCCGGGCAACTAACACGCATGAACGTGCGGCCAAGGAGAAGGCACGGATCGCGGTCCACGGCAGTAAGCACCGGGACCGAGCACGAGTATGATCGCCGATCGCGGGGATCACACGCATCTCACGCGGACCCACATCGCGACGGGCAGCGACGACACGAGAGACGCGCGCATCACGACCGCAGGCGCGCGGACGAGGACGACTGGCAGTCGAACGCGTCGTACGCATCGCGAGCCACACGCGATGAACCCCGAGTACGACGCGATGACCGAGAACGCCGCGATGAGGACCGGCGACGGCGCGAGGGGCGCAATGACCGACGCCACGAACGCGATGATCCACGGGACGATGGGGCGGGCACACGGCCGAAAATTGTGATGCCCACGTTTACGGGGACGGATCCGGACGCATGGTTGAGCCGGGCTGTGCAATTTTTTGAGATTAATGATGTGCCAAGGTACGAACGAGTTCAAATTGCTGCCTATCACCTTGATGGGGAAGCAAACGTTTGGTGGCAGTGGATGATGCACAAAAACCATGGCGAGTACATACGATGGAGAGATTTTGAAAAAGAGCTTATCACGAGGTTTGGCTCGAGTGACTACCACGATTACAACGAGGCTTTATCAAGGATCAAACAAGTGGGTAGTCTGAGAGATGATCAAAAAGAGTTCGAGCGAATCGCTAGTAGGGTACGAGATTGGCCCGAGGCTGCATTGGTAGGAACGTTTGTTGGGGGACTAAAGGCTGAGCTGGCAGCCGAGGTAAGATTGGACTGGCCAGTTTCGATGCGAGCGGCTATAGAATCAGCCAGGCTTCACGAAGACCATCTTGTGGCGGTGCGCAAGGCGAAACCAAGCGACGTACGCACGGAGACCAAGCGCGCACACGTCGCGATCGAAGAACAGCCAACGCGAACCGAAAGCAAGCCGATGGGCGAAATTGTTCGAACGACGAGCAACATACGACGCCTTACCGACGAGGAGATGCAACGACGGCGAGAGAAAGGCCTTTGCTATTCGTGCAGCGAAAAATTTACGCCAGGCCACAGGTGCAAGGGTAAGGAGGTCTTTTTGTTGGAAATTGAGGGAGAAGAAGAACCAAGGGAGGAATCCTTATTACACATGGTTAAGAGTAAGAAGCATGGTCCGAAGATGATTACATTCACGGCTGAATTGGGAGGAAAACTAGTAGAGGTGTTGGTCGACAGCGGATCTACGCTAAACTTCATTGATGAGGAGTTGTCCAAGGAAATCAAGATTCCGTTTACCAAGGTAAAACCTTTTGGAGTCAAGGTTGTAAACGGGGAAACACTGCGTGGGGATATTCTATTCAAGAGTGTTAAGTTGAAGGCTCAAGGCCAAAGGATGAGAGTGGACCTCTATGCATTGCCATTGAAGGCGACTGATATAGTACTTGGATGCCAGTGGTTGGAGACACTTGGTCCAATCACAACTGATTATTGGAAAGGAACTATGGAGTTCGGGGGGTCGAGCAAGAGGGTCAAGCTGAGGACTGAGGATCCAGGCGAGTCACCTGATGAAGACAACGGGGATGGTCGAGAAGGGAAGCTGAATTTTCTAATCATTGGGGACAAGGAAAGTCTTGAAGAGGAGGGGAATGATACAGAAGTGGCATTGGAGTCCAGCGAGACTAGTGAGGAGCGAAAGGGCAAAAGGTGCGCATCGGCACTTGATGCACACAAGTCGGCGAACGGACCGCACACACGGGTTTGGCGGGGTATACGCGGGGGCGCCGTAGGCGATACGGGCCTGGGTCGTGGCTGGGACACGCGCAAGTGGGCAGGAAGGCGCAGGGTTAGCGCGGAAGGATC